GTAGCAAAAGAGGAGAAACAAACAGGGGAAAGTTTATTTTAATCTCAAGTGTAACGTGGGTTGGCTGGTTTTGTTTGGTTGTTTTAGACTATTTAAGGCAGGATTCTCTCTCTGCAACCCTGTAGATAAATCCTAGTGTTTTAGCTATAAAAGTTTTAAGAGTTCAGATATACAGATAAACCAATTTAAAAAAAAAAACTCTTAGTATTCTAAAGGCTTTTGAAGCATTATATAAATTTTTAAAATTCCTATTACCCACATTTTAAGAAATAAATCTATGCTTTAATAAGGCACTCAAGATGTAAAACAATTTAAAAAACAGTTACATTCTCTGCTAGGGCTAACCCGTTCCTCTGCTATACGGACGGAGCGGACCGTCTCCGTGAGCTGAGTCAATCTCTGTGCGCCAATACGAATGGGCAGGTGCCTCAGCCCATTCTGAATTTACCGAAATGGCTGAATTTTATCAATGAGATCCCCTCATCCACTGGTGAGGGGGTTACACAAATGGAATTGCCGAAATTTGATGGTGAAATTTAAAAACGGGATCTCCTTTTTTTCTAGAAATGCTTCCTTTGAACATAGAACAGTGACTTCCATTAGCTCCTACCCATAAAGGAAAACAGAATGGAACAGAACCAATGATCCCCCACACACTTCAATTTTACTGATGGGACAGAAATATAAAGGAACTTCGCTTTTAAATGACAACCTAGTAACTGTTGATAACTTGACATTTTAGTTGTGTATCTTATATGCACGTATGTTACTGGTGCTAATAGTTCCACTTCTGAATAACAAGAATTCAAGTCCTACTATCCCCACCGCTAATTCAAACAAACACTAAAGCTTACAATACAGCAATGCAACCTCTAAGACTGTAACAACAGAGAGATTTTAGTGGAGGTTCCACACTTTCCTAAGTGATGGAAGAAAATAAAGGAGCCAGAAAGGTCAGACTAAGCCTGAAACAAAATTTCACTATGAAAAAGGACAACGAATGTCCCGTCAGAGTGAGAGCAGTTAAAAATGTGGCATCAGGAGTGGATCAGACTGAGGCATCGTTGCGGGCCGGGTCTTTGCTGCCAGGGAGTGAAGGAGCAGCCCAGACAGGCAGCCGTGGGCGCTGCTTTCCTTCCTCCTCCTGGGCTGGCCGCAAAGGATCAATTACTTCCCGTAGAACTTCTTGTTGAGAAGGAAGATCAGAAGGTTGACATTTACTTTAGCTCTGTCAAATAATTTCATGACTGCGACGCCTTCATATTGCAGCTGCAGCAGGTCCTGTTCAAAAAAAACATTTTGACAGTTAAGTCTGCAGAACAAGCAAAGAAAGGACGCAATGTGGAGAGGGCCCCGGGCGGAACGAGGCCAGCCTTTGGTGCCAGGCGTGAAGTGGGGCGAGAGCAAAGTCCCCAGCTACGGGACTGCCCACTGCACGCCACCCGTGTTGGCCGATGGAATCTGCTCGTTAATTTGGAGTTAGGAAGTCATGTTGTTCATATCAAAATACACAAAACAGAGAAAGAAAAAGAGGCAATGCTTAGGTGTCCCACGCGCCTAAGCCTTTTATTTCAGAAGTTGTTACAATGACATTTTCCCATTTCATCTACGTTATGGGTCACCGATTTTAATAAAGCTGGAAACGGCGAAGGCATTTCCACCTGAGATGACATACACTAACCATTAAACGTGAGACAAGGCTAGTAATGTTGTCTCAGTAATATCCACTAGATTCTTAATTTCTGTTTCACTTGAGAAAGCTTTTCTACCCCGAAGGCAAGGGGAAAGAGGACGTAACGTTTATTAGGTGGCTGCCATGCGCTCGGCAACACAGCACACTGGATGGTATCTCGTTAAGTCCACACAAAAGCCCCGCGAGGTGTGATTATCCCGGCTTTAAAGACGAGCTACTGAGGCTCAGAGACGTTAAACGACTTGCCCAACAGAGCAGTCAGACGTGCTGAGTCCGGACCTGACTGCAGGGCTCCCGCTCTCCCCGCCACCCTCCGCTGCGCAGAACGAGTCTCACAATTCTGAGTGGTCTCACCCCCAAACTTCGGAAGAGTGCTGAAGGAGAAAGCAAGAGTCAAAGGGCCTGAGGGAGCCCCAAAAGTCCAATCAATTCGTCTTCTGGAAAAATCCTGGCAGCTCCGTGAGAGCTGGAATACGTCACCTGTGCCCAACATATCACACACCTGGCCGTCATTCCACACGCAGAGTTTGCACGCGCAGGAATACATTACCTTAGGCAGACTGGCTGGCCTCACGGAACGCGGCGAAACCGAGGAAATAAGAGCATCCTCTCTGCGTGCGAAGCGCTCTAACTAGCTACGCGCGTCACAAAATCATTGCACGTTTGTTCAGCTACCGTGTTTTAAAGGGCTACTGGTCACTGAGAAGGAAATAAAAGGACTGAGAAACACTACCGCCCTTAAGGAGTTCAGTGTTTTAGGGAGTCGCAGGTAAGTGAGTTGACGCCTCCTGTAAACAGAGGATGTCTCTAAGGGCTACAGAAGCAGAGGGGAAACCCTCTACTCCGGCATGGCTGGGGGAGGCTTTGGGGGTAACACACATGCGAGTAACTCAACAAATGATGGAGGAACAAAAGGGGTGGGGAGGGAGGGCGGCATGAGAAGCCCAAACGCACGTGCGCAGAAAGGCACTGCCCGGCGTGACAGTGTGGCGTGACGCAGGGTGAGGACTGAGAGAAGAGACCGCCGGCGCTACGTACACAAGCTGAAGGAGTCTGGACACTACCTGGGAATCCGCTCAATACCCTGATATTTTTTAATGTGCAAAAAAATTTCAAAATAAAAATTAGGGATCTTTATGCTACAAAATGAATCACAGCAGAGTTATGTTTCACTTTAAGATACAATTTAGTTTACAAAAAAAAATTTACACACACCTTGTCAGAAGTGCATCTAGCCTTTAAGTACCTATAACGTACCTACCGCAAATCAAAATGCGAAAAAAGATTTCAAGCTACTAAGTAGGCTCACAATTTTGTACCGTCAACACTTGTCCTTTGGCGTTTTGTTCAAGGCCAAGGTATCAGCTCACTTCAGTTGCAGCGCTAAGCAGAAGCTCCAGATAAATGCTTTCTGAAAATGTACACTTCTGCGAGAGCTCTCTGGAGCCACAGAGCAGATCCGATGCCGCAACGCCCCGCCCTTCCCCCCCGCTGGAGCCGCGCTCATGCCGACCGTGGACAGCCTTCCCCGAGTGGGTCTCCTTTTTACCTATCCCTCCCACTGTGACAAGAGCCGCATGCGGAAAGCTGCTGGTCCCACCTGGGGCAAACGCACCTGGTAATGTAACATAAAGGTCTCCATTTGAACTCCCATGAATTTGGCTTTCACTTCAAAGTCTCCAACTTCTTCTGTTGGACTGATTTCAAAGATAACATTTTTAAACCTGTTGAAACAAAACATCATAAGGGTGTGGTTTCTATGTTCGCATATAAAAATTCTGTGAAATGGGGAAAGGAGATGAACCAAGTCTAAGGGTGAAAAGGGGCAGAAAATACAGGTCTGAAGTACTTCTGCAGGGAAACGGCACGGGGCTGCCACTCCTGAGTGTCATCTGCTCGGGACTGCAGAAAGGAACGGCAGCCGCTCCCGGTAGCACCTGCATTCTACTGAAAGAGGAACCACTGAGGAATGCTGCAAGTGGCCTGTGACGGGATGATATCTGGGGATTTTCCTGGCCTTCCATGTGGCTGGCCACTAATGAGACCTACTGGTAAAAGGAGAAAAAGGAAGAAATTGGGCTGGGAGGGGAGGGTGTGTTTGGATGCATGTATCTTTGAGGATTGGGAGAAGCAAGCAAGTAAACAAAAGGCAGTCAGTACCAAAACAACCAAGGGTAGAGGTTTTCTGGAAAGAGTAGATGTATGTATATAAATGCACTGAGTATAACCAGAGATACATTTCTATTACTAAAAATATTTAAGGTGTCGTTCATTCTCAACATGTTACATGCCAGGAAATTTTATGGCACCAGAAGGAGGAAAGACTATGCCGTTCTCCACGTGATTAGAGTATATCACCCCAGAACGCACAGAGCTGAGAACCACGAAAGATGCCAAGAGGCCACTGAGAAGCTGAAAGAGAGGTCACAAAGTCCACGCACTGAAACATGTGCACTCTACTCGAATGGAGCACCTCACGGTTACTCCTTAAAGATGTTTAAGTGATAAATTATTTTAACAGAATTGGTTGGCCATTTGGTTTCTAAGCCCATAGAAACAAATTAAAAAGAAGTTAGAGAGGCAATTAGAGGAAGGCACTTAAACAGCAGTGGAAAATAAGGATCAAAAAAAGGGAAGAGATAATAAATATTATGAGACAGAGTTTTAAAAAATCCATAAAGTGTTCCACAAAAAGCCCAGAGAAAACGAAACAAAAAGAAACAGGCAGGGTGCAGTGGCTCACGCCTATAATCCCAGCACTCCGGGAGGCCAAGGCCGGAGGATCCCTTGACCTCAGTAGTTCAAGACCAGCCTGAGAAAGAGCAAGACCCCGTCTCTACTATAAATAGAAAAGTTAGCCAGGCATGGTGGCGCGTGCCTGTAGTCCCAGCTACTCGGGAGGCTGAGGCAAGAGGATTGCGTGAGCCCAGGAGTGAGGTTGCTGTGAGCTATGATGATGCTACTGTACTTTATCCTGGGCGACAGAGCAAGACTCCGTCTCAAAAAATAAAAAATAAAAAATAATAAAAACTAAGGCCCCCAATTGAAAAACTGACCAGAGAAAATATAGATAAGCCATGTTTTAAAAACAAAACAAAAACCCCCCAAAACCCTCAATGAGAAATCTAAGAAATGCAAGTTATCAAAGTGACAAAAAAACTACTGAATTCAAAAACATCAAAAATTATATTATTATTCAATAGCAGCAAGGAAGTGGTGAGACGAGTACTTTCATACACACTTCAGACATTACTGGTAAAAGTTTTGGTAATACATGTAAGTTTAAAATTTTTTTCAAGCACTATGGAAAACAGTATGGCAGGCTGCTCAAAAAGTTAAAAATAGAATATATGATCCAGCGATCCCACTGTGGAGTACATGTCCCAAAGAACTGGAGGCAGGAAGCCGAAGAGCCATCTGCACACCCACGTTCCCGGCAGCGTCGCTCACCGCGGCCAGGAAAGGGGAGCGACCCAAACGTCCGCCAGGACGGATAAAGCACACGTGGGGCGACACGGCCAACCTCACGGAGGAAGCAAATCCTGTCACACGCCACGACGTGGCTGAACCTTGAGGACATTATACATTATGGTAGATAGAATGAGCCAGTCACAAGACAACCAGTATGTGATTCCACTCACATGAGGTAACTAAAGGAGTAAAACTCACAGAAACACCAAGTAGAACCGCAGGTGCCGGCGGCCGGGGCAGGGGGAAGGGGCGGAGTGTCGGTTTTGCTGACCTGGAGATCTGCTGCACAACGTGAGCTACTGAACACTACTGAACTGTACCCTTAAAAATGGTTATGATGGTAAATTTTATGTGTTTTTATAATAAAAAAATTTCTTTTCTTCTCACATCAGATAGGTAACGTGCTGATGTTGTAACAAGGTTTGAGGGAGACCCATCTCACGTAAGTGTGAAAACCCAATCATCACACTTACGAACTACAAAAGGAGCATAAAAATTTTTTTTTATACTCTGACCAGAAATTCCATTTTTAGACATCTATTATTTTTTAAAAATCGAAAGAAAGATCAAAGATTTACATATAAAGGTGTTATCATATACATAATAATGTAAAAAGTAAAGTTAATTTAAGCATCATACAATAGGTGGATGGTTAAAATATAGAATATTATGTAGTCATTAAAATGACAACATATGAAAAATGCTCACAACAACGTTGTGACAAAAAAGTTGGATACGTGACTATAAACGTTATCCCGGTGTATGATGAAGAACAGAAGCCGGTAGCTTGGCGTGCAGGTGGATCATCCTTACGTGACTAGGGCAGGGAAGGAAATACACTGAGATGCTGTCGGTGGGTATCTCTGGCCTGCAGGATTATAGGTGCTTTTCCTCATGTTTTACTGTATCTTCACACTTCAATAATGAATATTTATTATTTGTAGAATCTAAATATATAAACCTTTCTTTATTAAAAAAGTCTTTTTTTTTTTTTAAATCAGACACAAGAAGAGAAAGCTCAGTGGCCTGAGGCCACAGGGCGGACTGAGTAGGCGCTCAATTAATGATGCCGCTGGGCCTGGACCCGCAGGAGGACGTCTGGTCAGACCCATGTGCGAGCTACGAAAAGAGGAGAAGTCCCTGGTTCCTAGCCACAAGTGGAATAAACTAAACTCCTCTTATTGTTCCTTACTTATTCTTGGTTCAGAACAGAAGAAATCCAAGGAATGGCTTCCTGCGTTAAAGAGGAAAAATTAAGATCAGACCTCAATAACTAGATGTGAACATGCCCTGAGACAAATGCTCCACAAACAAGGAAAAGAAATACTTTCTCTTTTATGACAGGCATTAATTCTGAGTATGAGGCCTAATTCTGCACATAAAAATATATAAATACATAAAAATATTAAAAGTAACCATCCAGAAAGGAGAAATAAAAGATAAAAATGTGATAAATGCAGAAATAAAAAATCAACTAATAAAGTAAAAAAATACTCACTGATTCACTTGCAGGTCCTCAATTTCCAGTAGAACTCCTTTTTCGTGTAGTCTTGCTGCCGTATATTTCAGAGAAATCTTCTTGCTTTTCTTTCCTTTCATTTCCCTAGGCTTTTTGGAGACCCTGTAAAAATCACATCATGTCACTTTCTATAGGTAACCAACCATCTATGATGCGTCTTCATGGTTGATAATTCAAGGAAATGAGGTCAGAAAACAAACTCCCTACACAAGCATAAGTAACATACCAATTCTAAAATGGCAAGTAAATGTTAGGGTTAGCCTAAGTAAGATCTCTGCAAAACAGGGGAAACGTTACTAAACTGCTTTTTTTTTTTTTTTTTTTGAGACAGAGTCTCACTCTGTTGCCGGGGCTAGAATGCTGTGGCGTCAGCCCAGCTCACAGCAACCTCAAACTCCTGGGCTCAAGCGATCCTCCTGTCTCAGCCTCCGGAGTAGCTGGGACTACAGGCATGCACCACCATGCCTGGCTAATTTTTTCTATTTTTAGTAGAGACGGGGTCTTGCTCTTGCTCAGGCTGGTCTCGAACTCCTGACCTCAAATGATCCTTCTGCCTCGGCCTCCCAGAGTGCTAGGATTACAGGCGTGAGCCACCGCGCCCAGCCTAATTTTTTTTTTTTCCTTTTTTTTGAGGTAGGGCACCCCTCTGTCACCCAGGTTGGAGTGCAGTGGCACAATCACAGCCCACTGAAGCCTGGAATTCCTGGGCTCAAGCAATCCTCCTGCCTCAGCCTCCTGAGTAGCTGGGATTACAGGCATGTGCCACCACGCCTGGCTAATATTTTTATTTTTTGTAGAGATGGGGTCTATGTTGCCCACCCAGGCTGGTCATGAATGCACAGATTTTTACCCAGCCATTACATTTCTAGGAATTTATATTCAGAAATATGCCCACATTTGCAAAATGACGTATGAACAAGAGGTTGTTACAGAATATTTTATAATAAACTGGAAACAAATGTTCACCAATGGAGAACTGATTAAATAAATTGTTATATCTATCTACACAAGGGAATCGCGTGCGGCCATTAACAAAGAATCTAATCTGTCTGCTTAGAAGGTCTATAAGCAAAGACGAGTCTGGCAACGAGCATACCTAGTGTCTAGATCTTGATTCTAAATATCATTCTTCATTAAAAGGAACCAGGGATGTTTGGGGCAATAGTTCATTCTGGGCCTGGGGAGGGAAAACTACAGGTTGAACATGAAACATCTTAAGTCAGGAAGTACACAAAGAACGGCAGGGATATGTCACAAGGTCACAGGAATCAGCTCTGCAAGATGGGTGAGATGGGTCTGGTTTTCGTGCCTTCCCATCTGCCTGAGCGCACTGCAGGGAGTCTCAGGGAGGGACAGGAAAAGAGAACGTGTATTTAAGAGTGAGCGAGCCAGAGACAGGGGAAGCAGATGTGGCAAACTGTTAAAAACAGGTGAATCTGGGTGAAGGGTATGTGGCTGTTTCTTGTTCTAATCCTTCAGCCCTTCTGAGACTTGAAAACTCTTGACATGAATAGTTAGGAGTAAAAAATAAACTAACCCTACGAGTAGAACCTGATCTTATCACTTCACCCCTCTGGGTTTTCAGTTCCCTCCCTGTAAAATGGCACGCTGATGCCATCATGGCCAGTGCCAGCAAGGCCACACCAGACCGTTCTCGGCACCTGGGCAGAAGTCGGAGTCTGTGATCCTGTCCCCAGAAGGTGGAGAGGAGCCAGGAATCCAAATTTCCATAATATTCCTTAAGTGATTCTGAGGCACACCCAGGTTTTGGGACCACTACATGTTCGCCATGATTCTAGGGCCAAGAAGAGACTTGGGAAGAAGGGATGCTTAGCTAGATGTTATTGATGTCATATACTAACAAAGGGACTGGCAATTATACAATTAAATGCAAAATAAAGGACTAATGCGATAAATAGATCCAGTGTCTTAGGTAAAAATTTCCAAAGTCACTTCAGTTGCCTCTACTTATTTTTCCCCACCCTAATTCTTTCCCCTGATATTGATTCTTTAAAAAAAACAAACAAAAACAAAAGACAAAAAAAAAACCACTCACTTGCCCTTGCTGGCTAAGTTATCCAAGCAGGTTTTGATGTAGCTTTTGTAGTAATCCACCTGCTCCCCATAAAAGGTGGCCTTAGAGTTGAGAGCAGCGAATGTTTGCTGTAATTTCACCAGTTCGGCCTTTCTCCTCTGTCGGTATCTCCTCTGATTCCGAATGTCCTGAAACACAGTCATTCAAATTAGGAAAATAAGAACAGATATCACATGCTTCTTGAATCATCCTAACATTAGAACCCAGCGGTGCTTAACTCTGCCTTGAATATGACCACGCATGCTTAACAGGTAGTAATCTGCGTTCACAAATTAATGGAGAAATTCAGATAATTTTTTTTCCCATTTGTATCTTCTAGCAGGGAAAAATGTGTTACTTTCAGACTTACACATTTTTAGAATTTACTCATAAGGCTGGTTTGGAACTCTTAAATATGTTGTTGGGACAGGGAGAAAAAGAGAATCGTAACACAGCGATCACCAAGTCCGCAAGTGTGCGTGGTGTTATCTCCCCACAACAGCAGAGACTCCCAAACTCCCAGCACCAAAGCCACTCGCTTGAAACGATTCACACAAATCAAGGACTACTGTGAATTTATATTTCACGGTAATCACGAAAAAGATCTGGAAGAATTCTGTAAGGCCAAGGCCAAATGTAGCCACAGGAGGCTCTAGTTAGGGTCTTCTCCCTATTAATTTAGGCCATAGAATAAGCCACCTCCGGACAGGCAAGGCCCACGGGACAGTCAGAAGTGGCTTCTTAGCAGGCAGGGCACCGACTGCCTGTGAGCTGAGGCTCTGCTGTTATCTGAACAGCTGCCGTCTCCACTGTCTCTTTATGAGCCTCTCAAACAGCTTTAAACGAGGCCAGGCCATCGCTGTCCCCCAGAGGCAGTACCCTGGCAATGTCGTTGATCAGTTCCTGGTATTTGTTCTTTGGGTCCACAGTTCCGAGCTCCGTTAGCTTCTTCAAACCTGTGTGGATCTTTTGTTTCTTCTCCTGAAGAGTGAGGTTGCTATCTTCCTTCGCAGTCTTTGACTTTTTCATCTTGTCAGGAGTTTTGGCATCACGCATGGCACGTCTCTGCATGGCCCTCTGATGTTCTGCTTCCTACAGATAAGAAAAAGAAGTCCTTGGCAGGTTCGCCACACGAAACCTCAGCTTGAATTTACATAGCATAGCTGCACCTGAATTTATATCGTTCTTACACTCCATCCTGGAAGCAGAGGGGAACAAATCTTGCCCCCTACTAAATGACAGATGAGAAACTGCACGAAGCAGAGGCAGATCTCTTTCCATCTAGAAGAGATCACACCCACGAAATCACACAACTTCTGAGCGCTTCTTTCCTGGACTCTCGGTATGACTGGGTGACTGGACTCCGCTATCAAATCTCTCATCACATTTTGAGACACAAAAGCCATTTAATTTTATTCCAAACGCAGCTACGTGAATGTTGTAACCGTACTAAGGCCACACCAGCACCCAGTAAACCCTCGCTAGTTCTTTTTACCACCTGGCCAGGCTGAATCATGCTCAAGTCTTCCCTCTGCTTTCGAACATGCTGCAAATGCCACGATCTCAACAAGGAAAAACCTTTCCTCGACATCTTTCCTAGTCACCATCCGATGTTTGCCCATCACGTCCCTGTCCAACAAATGATGTACACTTACTGTTCCATTCTTTCAGCACTTTCTTCTCTCTTTAACTCCTTGCAAACTGGCCTCTGTATCCACTGCTCTCATCACCAATTACCATTCCCCCACCCCAAATCCACTGCGTTTCTTAGCTGTCACCTTGCTCTTCCTTGACGCATTTTTTCTCGCCCTAAGCAGGGGTTGGGTACTTCCAGTGACTCATGGCCATTTATCTGTGCACTCTCAGTTCGTCAATCAGCCTCCACATCGACAGATCCCAAATCTTTGTGGCTGAGGCTCCAGTACTACATTTTGAGCTGTTTGCACTAGGATGTTTACATCTGGAATGGCTTGTAGTTCACACCCATAATTCCTCCCAAATTGGAACTTTCTTTCCTAATATTCCCCTTTCCTCTAGTGTCAACACTACTCCGCATCACATAAGGCAAAGAGCAGGGTCAGACAGAACTGGATCCAGGTCTGGTTCTGCCATTACCTGCTGATGGTCTTAGGCAAGTTATTTAACCTGTAAGGGTCTTTCTTAGTTTCCTCATCTGTAAAAAGAGGATGAAAAGATGCACCTCATAGGGATACTGCAAGGATTAAATGAAAGAACGCAGGTAAAAGCCCCAAACAAATACTAGGTTCTCAATAAAGACTGGCTCCTCCTTCCCCACTTCAAAATTCCTTCTGGGTTAAACCCATTCCAGTTCCTGGTTATCCCTCTTTTCTTGCCCCTCACACACATCTAATCAATGACCAGTCATAGCATCTAAAAGCTGAGAGCTGTCAAATGTCTTCTGTGTAGCCTTAAGAGTTTTCCAGAGGTACCACAGGGTCCCAGAGGGCTGGGTTCCAGACGCCCCATTCCCGGAGCTACCAAAGTAGCTCCAATTTCACCTGTTTTGTACACTGGGCTTCTAAGTAAGTTGTCATTTAACGATACTGATTCCCATGCTTAAAATTTGAAAATGAAAGACTTGACCTACTTTCTCATTTGACAAATGAGAAACAGGGGTCTCAGACATGTGGTGACTCATCCAACCCCTCCCATTGCCATGCCCCCACCTCCCAAGCCCCCCAGACCTTATCACACACCTGGATGACTCGACTACCACTGCTCTGATAGCACTGCCGAATTAATTAACATTAAATGGTCTCCAAGCCTACAAAGGCTCTCCTCCTTATCTCCGCAGTATCGGACTCCTGAGTTCTAGATAACGGGGTGCCAGTGCTTCATTTCTGACTACTCCCCTCCACCTCCACTTCCATCTGGTCAGGTCATGCTTGTCTCTCCTTTGCACCTTTGTTCACACAGGCTCTCCTGCCTACCATGTCCTCTCCTATGTGTACACCCAAATCCTACCTATTCTTTATCAGTTTGATTCAAGTTCCACATTTTTTTAAAAATGGAGATGGTCTCTGTCACCCAGGCCAGGGTACAGAGGCCCAATCATGGTTCACAGCAACCTCCAACTCCTGGGCTCAAATGATCCTCCCACCTCAGCCTCCCAGTAGCTGGGACTACAGGCACGCACCACCATGCATGGCTAATTTTTAAACTTTTTGTGGAGAGAAGGTCTTGCTATGTTGCTCAGGCTGTTCTCAAACTCCTGGCCTCAAGCAATCCTCCCATCTCATCCTCCCAAAATGCTGGGATTACAGATGTGAGCCACAGTGCCTGGACTTTTTTTTTCTTTTTTAATAGACAGGGTCTCACTATGTTGCCCAGATTGGAGTACAGATGCTATCGACCAGCATGATCACAGCACACTACGGCCTCAAACTCCTGGGCTCAAGTGACCTCCTGCCTCGGCCTCCAGAGTGGCTGGGACTACAGGCATGCGCCACTGCACCTGGCAAGTTCTACTTCTTTTATGAAGTCTTCCCGATGCATTACTCTTCATTGGCCTCTTTCCTGAAACTTTTATCATTTGTATAGTCAATACCATAGTTAATTTTTAATGGTCTTACCATTATTTCAGGTATATATGTCATATTTCCCCAACAAGATTATGAGTTCATTTAGTTTAGGTGCCACATTCTGTATTTTTCTTCTATCTACCAAAGCACTTAACAGAATTCCACCTATATAATATTAAATAAATTACAGACAGCCCTTTGCATTCATGGATTCAACTGATTTGGATCAAAAATATTTGAAAAAAGGCTGGGTGTGGTGGTTCACATCTGTAATCCTAGCACTCTGGGAGCCAACATGGGAGGATCACTTGAGGTAGGAGTTTGAGACCAGCCTGAGCAAGAGCCAGACCCGGTCTCCACAAAAATAGAAAAATTAGCTGGGCGTTGTGGCATGTCCCTCAACGCCAAGTCCCAGCTACTTGGGAGGCTGAGGCAGTAGGATCGCTTGAGCCCGGGAGTTTGAGGCTGCAGTGAGCTATGGTGACACCACTGCACTCTAGCCCAGGCAACAGAGTGAGACTGTCTCAAAACAAACAAACAAAAAACCAAAAAAACACCAATGAAAAATAACAAAAAAATAGTACAAATTAAAAACTAATACAGTGTAACAACTATTTGCATAGCATTTACACTATATTAGGCATAAGTAATCTAGAGACGATTTAAAATATACAGGAGGGTATAGCCAGGTTGTATGTAAATAAGGGACTTGAGCATCCTTGAGTTTCGGTATCGGCAGGAGGCGGGTGGGGGCTATTTGGGTCCTGGAGCCAATCCCCTGCAGATGCTGAGGAACAACTGCACTGGATGGACTCGCCAGATCTGCCCCACGTTAAATGAACACACACACACTCCCTGCACGTAAGCGCCAGTGGTGAGCTTCATGCCCTAAGAACATCTCCTTCTGGATTTAGGAGCCAGTAACTTTCTCGGACGAGCCCTAACTACCCCACGCTCCAGTTACGTCCATGCTAACCCCCAGGCTACCACCTCTTATCTGCGTCTCCCCTCCTTCAACCCTGGCATGCGCCCATCACAGGAGAGCTTACCTACCTTATGAAGGAATGTGTTAAACCCTAAATTTTACCTGTTCATTGGTGGCTGGTGTTTCTAGGATTTCAGTCAAGGTCTCTCCTGGCTGGAACCGGATAACATCCACAATTAAACGTTTTGTGCTGAAATGAAAAAAGTATTTAAACATTACCAGGTGAGCCAGGTGTGGTGGCTCCTGCCTGTCATCCTAGCACTCTGGGAGGATGTGCTGAGGCAAGAGGGTCGCTTGAGGTCAGGAGTTTGAGACCAGCATCAGCAAGAGCGAGACCCTGTCTCTCCTAAAAATAGAAAGAAATTAGCCAGGCAACTCAAAATAGAAAAATCTGGCCGGACGTGGTGGTGCACACCTGTAGTCCCAGCTACTTGGGAGGCTGAGATGGGGGTTTGCTTGAGCCCAGGAGTCTGAGGTTGCTGTGAGCTAGGCTGATGCCACAGCACTCTAGCCCAGGCAACAGAGCAAGCCTCAAAAAAGAAAACAAAAAGGAAAAAAGAAATAAACATTACCAGGTGTTCTAGTTCCTCTCAAGTGGACCTAAGCAGCAGCAGTACAAACACCAGCTCGCAGAGCTCCCAGTGAGCAGCTGCTAACACACAGTACTCAGGCCCAAGGCTTATATTAATAGTGCATATAATACAAGCAACTGTACGACAGAGCAGGTGCCACGGTTAGGATTTCTAAGATTTAAATTTCATTTTAGCATATTAGCGAAATAAGGCAGATAGGTCCTGTGCCAAGTACAGCATGCGACGTGGCCAGAGTTATGACGGCTACGAAAGGCCAGGATGACCGACTCAGGCACGACCGCGCAGGCTCACGCACCAGAGCCAAGCACACGCACTGCACTCCCGCTCTGCACACTCACTTCAGCAAGATGGTGCGCGCATCCACTTCTGCATTCTCATCTCCCGGCACATCAAACTTGTTGGTCAGTGTGAGAGACACTTCTGTCTTAGCCAGTGCCTCCTTATTTGGGTCGTTTAAATTGCCAGAACTTTCTCCTAAAGTTTTGGGAGGGTACAAAACATACAATAAAAAGGAGATACTGGGGGAAAATAATACAACTAAAAGATGCAAATCTAAGATGATACTTAAATAAGCCAACACGTGCAGTATGGCAAGACCACGCTTTACTGAGAAATGAAAGAAAGTGTTAAGCCAAATGGTAAAAGCAAAGGATCGGCAATAAAATAATTTCAAAAATAAGTGACAAATCACTTCAACACTAATGTCAATTCTCTCTCAAAACACCCTTTTCCTTTGCAGGACTTATGATTTCTTATTTCATAATTATATGTGCATCTGTGTTTTAAATGATCTCTTCCACACACTTCAGCTCCTCATGGACAGGGACATCTGTTTTGTCTCCCAGTCTATATCCAGAGTTTGGTGCAGTGCAGAAACAGGAGGCGACCGTCACAGCACTCCTCCATCACTCTCCCTCTCACCTTCTGGGCAGGTAAGTCAGAACTTACCTATCAGGGACTCGATGGTGGGCACCTCGCCAAGGTCGTCCAGCAGCTCGTGGATCGGATCGTTGTGCTCTGGAGCAATGGCGTCCTGGTGATCTAACAGGAGCTGCACCAACACCCAACAATCGATTCCATGTACACACTCAACCCTCTACCCCCGACCCCTGCCCACACTGCCTAGCAGTGATCTGCACCAAAGAGGTGAGACAACAAAGCTCCTATAGTCAAAAAATGACGAGCCAATCCTCAGGAAAATAACCCCCCAAAACCAATATAATATACAAAGCACCACGCTGGGCTTTGTTGAAGGACAAATATGTTACAACGGATGGAGAGAAAAGACTGGTACTCTCTTAACCTCATGGCCATAAGGATTCAAATGTGCCCTGTTTAAGGAAGAAGAATGAAACCCAGAGTTCAATACCTGAAGTCATCAATGTACCCTACAACCTGTTCAAATAGCTCACATTCAGACTTTTACTTAATGTTTCCAGTGTGCAACATGTTTTAATTCATAGAAAAGTATACCACCAAATCAATGATATCATTATCTTAGCAGCACTCAACAAAGCCTTCAAGATGCCACCATCCCAGGGGAGGTCCTCAGAAACGACAGCACCTGAAATTTCATTTACATTTCACATGTGTCCTCATTTCCCGTTCTACATGTCCCCAAAGGTGAAAGAAATGAATTATTTGAAAAATATGAAGAGGGAGCACCCAAGGGAAAAACCCACTCCAAGGCTACACAGAGGAAGAAGCTGGCATTGTAGGTCACGTTAGAAAAATGATGCAGAGGGCTGAGGTAAAAAAGGAGGAACAGTAAAAACATTATTTTATCAAGCCACTACTAGACCAGTGTGGATTTTGGAGTCCATCGCTGGGGATTCTGATTCAGTAGGCCTATGGCAGGGTCCAAGAAACTTCATTTTTAACTATCAACCCATGTGATTCTGACACAGGTGGCCCAGGGATAGCTTGTAGAAACTTAGCAGTAGACATTGTTAAGAGTAATAAGCAAAGGAAGAGAGACAACAAGGAGAGGTGGTGTCAGTAAGATCACAGGAAGGTGAGATAACTTGGTTTCCAGAGAAAAGCAGCAGCCAGGGAAGGTAATTAAGGACAGAGCAACAGAATTAAGTAATTAAAGAAAAACACTTACAGTGTGGGTGTTGATGATTTCACCAATGGAGATGTAGATAACTGGTTTGGTGAGGGTTACCAAGTCGGAGTACTCATCCACATTGAATTTATCCTGAAGCTCTGGGACATCACAAGCAGTTTGGAAAAACCGCCTGAAAATAAACACAGGAGGCAGCCCCCCAACAAGTGACATACACATGAGGAACTGGCAAGAGGACACACCATAAACCTGTCACGCAATGATTTCAAACAGAAGCCAGTCGAGACAGTTAATTCTAGACAAAGTACTGCATGTTTGCTTGACAGCCTTGGGCTACTGACTCTGTAACTTCTCTCTCTACCAAGGTTTACGGTGTTAGTTCTACCCACAAGAATCACTGACCTATAATTTAAAACATTTCTCAGATACTGGTGCCATCAGGAGAATCAACTCTCACTCTGTAATAGTGCAACGAGCCACTGAATTCAAAACCAGAAGTTAGGCCGGGCGCGGTGGCTCACGCCTGTAATCCTAGCACTCTGGGAGGCCAAGGCGGGTAGATCGTTTGAGCTCAGGAGTTCGAGACCAGCCTGAGCAAGAGCAAGACCCCGTCTCTACTAAAAATAGAAAGAAAAATTAGCTGGACAATTAAAAAA